TGCCTAATGGGAAACTTTTGCTGCGTTTGTACTTGATTGTGTAAAACTGTCGCTTGCTGCTGCTGTTGCTGCATCTGCCCACCAGCCACCATTTGATGCACCGCTTGCGGCGGCAACATATTTTGCCCAGTACCAGCACCAATCACGTTGACCGCGGTGTGTTGCTGCGGCGGAAGCGTCGACGGTTGATTAACGTTGACAGTCGCAAACGCCGACGATGTAGAAGTCTGAGGCAAGTCGGCAATAGCCGGCGTCGTCGGCGTCGTTCCTCCGATCAAGTCTTCGCTTCTCAAGGTGTCCAAGTTCGGTGGCGATTCGCTCGGCGACGGGAGATCTTTCCTCCTAACCGTAGGTTTCTTGGTGGGTCTCATGCGATTGGTGAGTCCGGAATTGTCGATAACAGCCGGCGGTAACATCTTCTGACCAGGTATAACGTTATTCGCGTGCGAGCCGTCGTTTTGCAAAAGATTCACGAGCAATGGACTGGATAGAGCGACCTGATTTCCGCTGCCGTTCGAACTCCCTGCCAAATTGGTACTGTTGTTTGGTGACAGACTAGATGTTGTAGCAATCGTCGTGGGTTTGTACTGATTCGTTAATTGTCCAACAGTAACGACCGGCTGCGTTGTCGTGTGACCGGTCGTCAGTGTCGCCGTAACTGTCGCCAAATTTTCTTGAGATGGATACGGGGGTGGAGGTTGTGCATGGTGCTTGAACTGCATTGTATTCTTGATGGATGTGGACTGCGATTCGCGGCTGTGTATTGCTTGGGCAGCGTGCGTCATACTGGCAAATGGGAAGAGACCGTTGTAGTTGTTCCTGGGCGATGCACTGGGATTAATTACTTGCTGGCTTCCGGAAACGCCAGCATTGCCCGCTGATGTGGACTGTGCCGATTTCGTGAGAAACGGTGGAATAGGATCACAGTCTGTGGGCGCGACTACATTCGGAGAACGAAACTGAGGAGCTTTCTCTGATGATGTTCCTGAAACAGTGAGAAATTCATATAATACGTAACTCAATTCGCTGCATAGGTTCCACTTTTTTTAAATAAATTTCTTTTGTGATCCATAAAAACTTACCAGCTGCTATTATCTGAGCAACATTATGTAGCGTCGACGAAATACTGGTGGCATTACTGGGACCAGGCAAAGCCGTCGACGGATTACTGTCAGCAGCAGCTGTATTACTAGTAGCATCTCCTTGTGATTTTGCTCCGCCATCTTGCGTACTTCCAGAATGCAGGACAATTTCTTGCGCATCTCCACCGAAGCGACTGGCTATCCTTAAAGATATTACCTGCGAAAAATGTATAACAATGTATCACTTGATCAATCATTCTTTATTTTATATAGAAATTCATAAAAAAAAATTATCAAGAGCTTGTAACGATATGTAAATAAATCTGTAAAAATCCACAATCGGATATTTATAAATTACCTGATCTCCTTCGACTTGTACTGAGAGTATGCCAAGTTGTGTAAGTGTTGGAGAACCCTGAGCTGCTAACTCTCGAAGCCGCAGAGCAGCTTCTCTGGGTATCGAGAATGTTACTCTGACTGAATTCCATGGTTCTATTTTATTTACCCTCAGACCATCTCCTTTTTCTGTAAATTGTATATCGTTTATAAATAATTATTATATATTTACATAACAAATAATAAGATTATAATGGGTAATTGAATCCGTTTTACCTTTGCAAAGCAAAGTATTGAGATGGTCAACAATGATTTCAAACTTTCGGGGAAACTCTGGATCTCCAAGGTCACCCTCACAGGTTACCACCGTCTCTATCAGATCACCATCACTATCTGCCGCCATGACTGTAATATTCAATGACGTTGCTTAATAATAATACCAGACAAAAAATAAAGTTGTCTTTATGATAATGTAGTATGATGGACATGAAATAATTGTTTTTTTTACATTTTTCATTAAATTTTAAATGTATGTTATAATTATGATAAACACAACAGTAATAATATAAAAATTTAATCTTAAAAGTTAAAAAATATAAAAAAGAAAGTTCAAAAAGAAGAAGAGTTAAAAAAGAAAATCAGTATTAAATTAAAGTTTAAGAAATGTTCGTTTTGTTTTCCTTATTAAAAAACAAAAGTGTGTAATTTTTAATTAATTTCTTTCCAAAATGACTTCTAAAAAATAAATTTGTATAAATTCTAATGTTATGTATACACATACTAATACTTTATACATGTACATCAAATAATAATCAATAATCAATTTAATCACAATAATCTCATATTCGCTTGATGTAATACAAAGAAGTATAATTACAGAAATCACAGATAATGTTTACACAATAATAAAATACGTACCAACCACAAATCACATAACTACCCAGAGAGTGTAGAAACGCCTCAGGGTATTGCTCCAATATGTGTGTGTGATGACGAGATGTCGTGTGTCAGTTGTACACCGACAGCCCCAAATCACACCAGTACTACTAATCTTGTTTACTGTCGAACAAATTAGAGATTGGAATAATTAGACCATAGGTAGCAAACATTATTACATTGTATTGTTACTTAACACCATTGTAAATAAATTAATACTATTAAACAACACCACCTACGTCACGTGTATGCACATTAGATGTGAAAGTTTTCTTAGTGTGTTTTAATATATTATATATTTTTATAATAAATTAAAACACACACACACACACACACACACACACACACACACACACACACACAGAGAGAGAGAGAGGGCGGGAGCAAGCATACTTGTACCTCGAAGATACTCTATAAAAATAAAAAATTCTAATTAGATACATATATATACGCGTCAAATGGCCAAAAAACGATAAAGTAAAAACAATGCAAAAGTTCTAACCTTATTTTTTTTGGTCAGTACTCGGACAGATATGACAAGATAAAAAAAAACTATTCCTTGGCACATCATATGCTGGCCCGTATGTATACATAATTCGCACACACATACACGTACACACATACATATACACACATACACACATATAGATATATATATACGTATATCATAAATCATTTTTAAAAGCGTAATTAATGGTATTTCGCGTTGGATTGATTTGCAGTCCTACGGATTTCGCGGAGGAACCGAGTGCGAAAAAAAAAACAAAAAAAGTTTTCATACGGAGATTATGTATCGTGCGGAGATAATTAATCGAATGACAATGAGAGGCGAGAGAGAAAGAGAATACCGTCGATCGTCGGGAAAAGCCGTATTATTCGCCATACAATCGATAGGGAGGCCTGATCTCGCGCGAGAACGGCGAGAAAATGACAAAAACACACACGGACGCACGTACACGCACGTACACGCGCGCGCACACACATACACATACACACACATATACATGCATACATACACACACACACGTACAACGTAGGTAGGCGCATAAACAAAAAGTGAGGCCCGCTAGGCGTTACTAGGTTATAATTCGTGCTTGATTTCCGGGAGGCACGGGCGACCGCCGCGGGGGAGGGTCGACGGTGCGGCCCGCGTCGGCGGGGCCCGTCCGCGCGGCGCGGCGGGCCGCGCGGGCGCGCGTTACGCGGCCGCGGGGACGTGCCCCCGGACCGTGCCCCCGTCCTCCCGGGGCTGTATACGTGTGCGTATACGGCAATTAAAATCCCCTGGTGCACGAGCGGCCGCGGGGGCACCGTGCGCGCACCAGCATCGGGAAATAGGTTATAGAGCGCAATTTTTTCGGCTGGGCGCGAAACGCAGACGGGCGCGTCTACGGGGATCGGCGGTTACGCGGCGCGGGACGCGCGTCCCGACGCGCGCCGTAATGATTTTCGGCGAAATACGGCATCCAGACCGTCGGGACATCGGGGGGCCACCATTTTGTCCGTCGGGGGAGGTGTACGTGAAGTGGGCTCAAGCATGCTCAAGATAGCCCGTCAAAAGTCGGGGAATTATTTTTTATTTCCTGGGCCCCCCCGCGTCCGACGACGTGGACGTCATCCCCGCGGCGGACGACACGCCGCGGGCATATCGGTCGCGTTATCCGCGCCCGCCGACGGCCGCGGCACGGCCAGCGGGCCTCACTCCCGTCGTCGCGCAGCGCCGTATTTGATACCGTATGAACACAGGAAAATTTCAACGTTACCCCATTTCTTTCCGACACTGTCCGGGATTTCACGCGTCCGTGCAGCACGGAGGCACACCGCCCGGGCACTGGTCTTAACCTAAAACACACGGCGCGGGCCCTACTTCACTCTCGGCACACAGCGCGCGGCAGGGATCGCGAAAAAACTCGACATAATCGCTAATATAAAGAGACAAGTCATAAAACGCCATGAACAATAACAAGGTGCCGCCATTTGCAATGCGAGCAACTGACATGCGCAAATCAATCGCGCGGGGCACGCTGGGTAACTTTTGGGGACGGGGCGCCATCTTGCCCTGGTCGTTTTACGCCAAGATGTACATACATACATGTCCCCTAACCTCCGAAAACGTCGCGTCCCGATAACGACGCGCTCCCTCGCGCTCCGCCGCTTCCGGATGTGCCTCGCGTACTCTCGCCAGAGAGGCGAGGCGTCATCGGGGGGCCTCGCTGCAGCCGCTCTCGCTATATGTCAATGCCTGCCCTTTCCACAAGGAATTTTCACCTTTGTCGAGCGTGAAAATCGTATCCTTTTCCTTCACCAGCTAGACAAAAAAAATGTTTAAACCATCAAGGCTATTACAAAGCTGCAATTTAAATTGAATGATAAATTTGAATACTGAATATGTATCGATTTGTATACTGCGCGTGTAATCGAGTCGGAAAGTATATAAAAATCGTCGATTTTTCGTTAAATACGAAAATTACAACAAAAGCCATGATCATGCAGCCGACGAGACGATCTTTGACAAAGGCTTGTGCATCACTTACGTCGCAGCTGTTTCGCACAACAGATACAGACGCGTATCGAAACATAAATTTAATGCTTAACTAAAGCGAGATTATGCAGATTAACGCAGTCGGGCAAGAAACTTGGCATATGTAAATAATACTATGTTGAATTTATTTATTATACATATAGATATAATAATGTAATCCCGAAGAAGACTATCATTTTATTCCGTCCTCTCAAATTTCTGCTCTCCTATTATCTGTAAACGTAAATCTATTTTTGCTTGGGAAGGTAGGACTGCATGAGACCAGCCTCGTTCATTATCTTCAGCTGCTTCTCCGCGTCGTAGGTTCTGCAAAATGTCAAAATTAAAAACTTAGCTGTGATCCTATCTGCGTAACGCGAGGCTCATGTACAACTTATGTAATTCATGACAGTCGTGGCGTCAGAAACAGGATTAGAATAAGCTGAATAAGTAACGTAACGGCAGATACTTTAAATACAATCTGTACATGGAAGTCATACTTGTAGAAGTCGGCGTATCTTTGTTTCTTCTTATCGGCAAAGAGCACCTTAGCTGTCCACGCCACGGTGATGCTAGTTATCATCATTCCTATAAGATTCCTTTTGATCTGCGCCTTTAGGAGGTTGCGCATCTGTGGTTTCTCTATGGCAGACATCTGAAATTTGCAAGATTTATTACGATGTAAAAACGACTCTACTGAAAATATATATCCACTTAGACATCGAGCTTCTATCAATGTGGAGTAACTTTAATCTCGGTTTAATTTACTCCTTGTCTTTTTCTGATGCTTAAAACTAGAAAAGAAATAAAAGAGCAAATTTAAACCGAAACAAAAGTCAGTCACTACATTGATAAGAAATGGACATTGGAGAAACGCCGCTAATTGGACCTTTCAATTGGATAGATCTAGATTAAATAATAAACATTTAGATCTCTCTGAAAAACTATAACGAAACTGTCGAGCACGATGCTATTAAATTTCTCTCGAAAACAGGTTACTTGCAAGCAGACGTTTATTAAGGATGTTTTTTTTTATGTAAATTCGCGAGGGATATTTTTCGATCATCGGAGATAAATCATCTTCGAGGCTCACAGGACCGTACAAGTGTCAGTCACGGATCCGTAACAGAAATATACAGGTTTAATCACGATTTAATCGAAGCGGGAGATTCTACGATGCACGAGAGAGATATATATATATTATATAACGTTTTCCATTAAAGTATACTTAGCGGCTTGTTTTTTTTTTTTAAGAGGACATTTCGAGTCGCCAAAAGACAATTTCATCGGAAGAATATATATCTTGCCTTGAACGATCTCGTTCGTTTCTATTGCTGTCAGTGCTAGACGCAACTTGAGCAAAGAATCTATCGTGAGAACTTAGAGGCAGGGTATATCGACCGTCGGCCACAATACTCGATAAAATAACGTCGAGTCGAGTGGTCGTGCCACAGTGCCCACAGTTTTCGTTTCCAAAACGGCGACGGAATCGTTAAGCAAGATACACATCGAGGCGCGAGCTGGCGCGAGCATCGATCGACGATATCCGCGGAGAGCTCTGCGTTCATTGGACACCGCGTGAATCTCCGTTTTGCAATTTATTCCATTCCACAGATTTATACGGAAATCTGTGGTTTATTTCTCCTCACTGTATTTATTTAGGCGAAGACTGTGGATTTGTCTAGAGTCCTAGATTATCAGAGAAGCGCGACCGGCTTATGGCAGTATCGCAAAAGTACTAGAAAATATTAAAAATGGCGTCGAATGGCCAATCATAAGATTGATTTATTCGGCAGCCATTTATAATAGCGATAAATCAATCTTATGATTAGCCATTTGCGAGTCCAATCAGGACTCGTAACACCGGTCGCGCTTCTCTGATAATCTAGGACTCTAGATTTGTCTAGATTTTTTTAGAGGCCATTTCCAAAGAAAAAATTAGAAAGCGCTGAAAAATTAATCTCAGCAAATATCAATTAAGTAACATATATGACAATTCTTACACAATAATATATAACTATATAATATAACCTGTATATATACTGTAGAATATCCAAAAAAATCCGTTTAATGAGAATTAGTAGCTGTTCATCGAAATGAAGCCAAGAAAGTTCCATTTTGATATTTGAGTCCAAACGAATATTCACAACTTTAATGAAACTCTGAGATTAATTTAATCGATATAATTAATTTAACTGGCAGAATAAAGGCAAAATTTCTGCAACACACATATATAATTATCCGTAACCTATAATCTCTTTTTGATATGTTTTAACTAAAAAAATTAATATTTCTATTTATTTTCAACAAAGCAACATAAATACGTACTTGATAAAGTTTTATTGCGATCAAACTGATTAAATTGATCGCAATTTAGTTGTAAAGTCCATCTCTAGAGCAGAAAAAATAACGAGACAGAAAGAAACAAAGAAAAAGAGAGAGAGAGAGAGAGAGAGAGAGAGAGAGAGAACAAGAGACGGAGAGAAAAGGAACGAGTGCATTTGTCATTGGCGGAACCTGGACAAATCGAGCGACGCATCGAAATTGCCAGGCGTTGCGTTTGCGTAATCGACAATTGTTTCTCGAGAATTCGTCGTGTCGATGGGGTCTCGCTGACCTCATCATCCAGGTACGAGGGGACGTATGTACTGTGTCGTCGTTAGGCGGTTTTCCCGATAATTATTCGACATGACTCTACGACCTCGCGAATGATCGCGTTCCCGTTCGGCGATCGAGGTCAACGCGTAGCCGCGAAGCTCTCTCGCGTCGTGTGATATGGCAGCGTTGTTGCGTTGCGCAGAAGTGCGACAGCAGTGACAGCTGACCCTAATGTGACGATCTGGGGACTCGCGTCCTCGCGTACATCTGTACTGACTTTGCACCCACGAGCCCCACATAACGCACTTAGACGCGCTGGATCGTACGGAGGCGACAGGTAAAGAGACAGCTTCCCTTTCCGCACGGATGTGCTAATTTTCCCTGAAATATCGTGCGTCACGTTCCACTCGTTTTTAATCGGAGTGCGTTGCTCGTCCGAGACGCGTCTGGGCCGAAGATATACGGATATCTGGGAATCGATATAGCTCTCGCTCGAATTTCAGTTCGGGGAGGGCAAATTATTTTGCCTCTTAATCAACGTAAGTATGTACAGTCGTGGACACGTCGGTTGCGACACTTTTTTCATAGGTTTTTAGTATGTATTTAATATGTATAATCAGTATAATATATATTTTATAGGTACTAATATTTTGCAAATGCGAACCGTGACGGTGTATTACCTTTAGTTTAGAGACAGTACACCAATCGTGATTCGTATTTGCAAAATATTAGTGCGTTTCGAAATCTATTAAAAAAAAAAAGTGTCGCAACCGAAATGTACGTCCACGACTGTATGTATTGCACACGCGAACGCTATAACGTGTAATCGCTTTTTGACGTGATTATCTTGTCAATCAAAGTGAATTATTTCGTGCATGAGTAATTTGCCGAAGCGGTTGCCAAGTCGCGCAGCAAGTCCGTGTACACGTATTTAATAGATTCTCTTATTTCGTTTTCAATTTTAATAATCTCTTTTCGATAATTCTTTATTTCTATCTATATGTAAAATAAGATCTATATGTAAAATCGCATCTATATGTAAAATAAGATCCCTATCTTACACAATTATTTACGCAATTCTAAAAACGTTAGAAATTTTTATCTGCTATTTGCATATCTATTAATCGTATGTGTGCGAACAATACCTGAGATAAAGTGATTTGCATTTGAAAACAGAGTTTTCTAGAGGGCTGTACTGGAGCAGTTGCTCTGTATTTAGCGATCATGGAACAGGTGATCGCGCTGAGTACACAAAATCCATTGTCCTTATTGGTTAAATTTGGTATGATGGCTTGGAACAACAGCTGCGGGAACGACAACTGCTCCGGCCATGGGGAATGCCACAACGGGACCTGTCTGTGCGAGGTAATATTTACCGTCGGCCGTTATCAGATTGTATCGCGGTGATAACGCTCAGTTATTTCCTTTCAGATTCAATTCGACGGGCCGGAATGTCATATCCCGAATCTAAGTTACTACATCGCCTTCGCCACGATTTTTTTCGTACTGGCTCTCGTCTGTTTGATACAGCTTGTCATGTGCATCGTCGCCGAGTGGCAGCGAATGAAGGCGCCGTCATTTCTGCGAGCGTGCAGGGTCACTAATCAAAAAGTGTTGTACTTTGTGGTTTTCCTCGCGTCGATGATACGAGGGGCATACTTTACCTCGCCGGTATGTAAATGAGTATTTTTTTTTGTTTTTTTAAACACATTTCTCATCCACAGTCTAATTATACACGCTCCCAATTCTTTTCTATAGACTGCTTTCAAGGAGGGTTGGTCCAGGAGTTTGCTGTCGGCATATTATCCATTGCTCTTGAGTGGATCATCGTTGATCGTTTGTTTCTGGGCCGAAGTGGTTCATCTAAGGGATATTCGCTGGGACAAACCTCAATTTTTGTCAAAATCTTTTCTGGCCTTTGTTGTCTTCAACATAATAACATATTCCCTCTTGCTGGCGGAATTTATCACGGCCAAGACTTATTCGCAAGTAGATCAAGTACGTAGCAGAATAAAAAAAATATGACGGAGTAATTTGTATTTATTACAATGATATTTTACGGTTTTGCATATGTGTTTACGTATTTGACATAAATGATTTGTTTGATAAAATTTTTTTGCTTTTTTTTCCAGAGTTTTTATACCCATGTATTCAACGGTTGTTATGCAGTGCTTCTGTTCATCGTAGTGGTCTTCTTCTTGATATATGGAGTGGAAGTATTTTTCAAAGTATGCATCTTTCACGTTATATAATACTTTTACATTGTCGAGTTTTTATTTACGTGGTACTTTTGATCATCAGGTCCGCGGTGGATTCCTAAATGAATATCACGTTGCTTCCATTGCAACAAACAAACGTGTAGCTGATACAACGAAAGTCCACGCTGAGGAGCAAGTAACGGCGAAGTTGTTCGATCCAGGTCCATCCACGTCCACAGCGGATCCCGTGCACATGCAACAAGTGAATACGTCCCAGTTACATCAGTCAAGATTTGGACTACTCTCTCAAGCATTCATGCTGTTTATCGTAGTTGGTTTTCTGTTCAGCGAGACCCTCAGCGAATTTTGGAAAACAAAGTAAGGAGACAAAGGAAACAATGATAAGTTACTGCGAGTTGCAACAGAATTTTTCAATTTGTTTTAACGCATATTCTTATACTAGGGTGCCGTTGTACAGCAGGAATTGGCATGACGTTGTATTTCGTGTTATCGAAGTTGGCGTAGCGCTGTGGTTCCCTTGCGTTTTATGGAATTGTATGAGGTATGTTTCTCGTATTTTTTTTTTATATAATAAAATTTCTTTTATGCCTTCTTCCGCAATATTATTTTATCATTTCCCTTTCAGTCCAGAGCAATTATGGATCCTAAATCCAAAGCGTATATTGAAGAGACTGGATCTCGACCAAGGGAAGCACATAAAGGAAATTGAATTGCAAGAAAAGGGCGCGTCTCAAGACACCGCGTTTCTCTCTACGGACACGACATCAATTAATAACAAGGATTGTTGGATTTGCTACGATAGCGAGAGGCAGGATGCTGGTCCATTGATACAACCGTGCCATTGTAGAGGCGATGTTAGTGCCGTACATCACGATTGTTTGCGTCGTTGGCTCGTTGAGGTAAAATACAATGTCTTGTGTTATCTATACATCGTTTGCTTTTAATACAACGAACATTCTCGTTAATCGCGAATTTTTTTTCTTCTTTCAGAGTTCTCTAAATGCCGACAGTCTGGTTTGTAAAGTGTGCAATACGAAGTATAATGTTGAACATGCCAGCCGATTGGATTGGCAAAACAGTTTGACCCCGCGTCATTGTCTACAAACTATTGCTATTGTTACCACGATGTGCGCGTCTTCTGCCGCCGCTTGGATAGTTATCCAACTCGTGGAAGGGCCCATCATCAGAATGCTCGCAGCCGGAACTGCATTACTGATTATGTACGTTTGCATAAGGTGAGTGAATGTCGACTTCTTTTTTTCTTTGAAAAGTTAACGCCATTACATTCGGTTTATGCAAATGAAATTGTCTCTTCTAGATTCTTGAGCTTGAATACCGTCGTAGCGTATCAACGGGCCAAAATCTCGTCGTTAAATATTGTTAACAGTGATAGCGAGAGTAGTATCAATAGTGGGACCGCACACGTCGCTACAATTAGTCATACGATTTCGGTGGACCTGACGAAATCGGACACGGCTACGATATAAATCTATACTTGCCATTGTGTTGCGAACACAAATATCTTCCTATTTGAAGTAGAAAGATTCAAAATAGGAAAAATAGGTAATAGAATAATGTGGATGTGTACGCTCTTCGAGCGTATGTAATGTACAAAGCGACGATGATTGAGATACAGTATGTTTCCACTCGGAGTTCTTATGTGCTTTTTATAAAGTAACGAAGTTATTTTATAGAGCACGAAATGAGAAGTCTGAGACGAGATATACTGTATCTATATTTTCACGATAGGTTTAGAACAGTTGCCAAACTTCCATATTTTACTTCTTCTGAGTATGTCATTGTATGACATTCATATATTCATGTTTTCATTATAGATACCCGTTATATCGTACATAACTTATGTATAATTTATATGTTTACAAGGTATCGCAGAACGAACGAGACGTGTTGTAATTTCAGTTACTTCGTTCTGTTGGAGACCGCGTTAATAATACATTGTATTTCATACCTACGTATAATCAGTAAAAAATTTGAAATCAAGTGTTTCAAAATTGCTGTGAGAATTGGGTTATAAAAAGTATATCAGTAGTATAAATAATCGCTATTTAAAAATATAATACAGTTTTCAAACATAGATACGAACATAATGTCATTGGTGCAATTTATCGATTAGTAATAAATGCTAATACTTGCTAGTAAATTATTAAACGTAATTACAAAATTACGTTAATTTAATAATTTACTGGCAAGTATTGAATATTTAAAAAAAATATGTAGGAGTATTGTCCTAAATATAGTAGTCACGTATAAATTAAGATAAGAAAATTAAGATGTAGAAAATAGATTTTTCAGTAATTGAATGCCACCATATATAAATTATTTCTTAAGACATATAGAATCTTTTAGTAATTAAATACCAATAAGAAAAATATTGACATATTCTATTTATCAAATTGTTTTACTGATTACTTTACATTTTCATCGTTATCAAAAAGCGATATCAGATTAAGTAAATCTTCAGCTCTATTGTCTCGATCTTCACCGATAATAATTGATAATAAAAGAAGTTTGTTATAGATTGTATTAAAAATGAAACAGTATAATGTTAAAACATTTCTGTTGTATTAAGAAATAACGTATTAATATGATTAAGAAAACTAGTTAAAAATACAATAGCTATGGTAACATTGTATAAATCATATCTTCAGCAATTACATTAATAATTTGGCTGTTGAAAGTGTATAGAAATTACAAACGTCTTTTTCAGAGTGCTGAAATTTGCATTATTTCTGGAAGTATCTTTAAAATAGATAATATATTTCATATATGTATATAAAACTATTAAGTTTTGGGTATCACAAGGATTATTTCCTTTATGATGCTTTGTATAAAAATAATTATAATACGCGCATTACGTGTTATACAATAACGTATTATATCTTATATAATTCTGAAGTTTTCATGTTTCATATATGAGTTACTTTAATGTCTTAACAAGTATTCAATTTTAGAAAGTATTCAAGCATCAGCAATCCAATAATGATTAAAGATTCCATACATATTAAGTAGATTTTAATGGAAAAGAGTTGATCTTAATTGTATCTGATAATAACCGTACTCTTAAAATGAATTTTTTAAAAGCTCAAGAAGTATAGTAGATATAATACAATGTTACTCTTGTGTACTATGCGACAATAGTACGCTTATATAATGCAATAAGTAAACGAACAAAATTTATTGTATATACTCCGTTATAGCACAACGTTAATTATATTAAAATTTATTTACTGATTGTATCTTTGGTTTAAGATTTATATCCAATTATTTGCGTGTAATTTAAAAAAAAAAAAGTTTTATATTATTTGAGTTTTGTGAAAAAAACAAAATTATTTTCTTACTTTAATGTAACAAATATGCAATTGATTTTAGTTTCTTATTATGTGGATAAAATTTAAAAATGCTTATGATATAAATTATTAAACGGTCTTTATAATATCGATTCACAATTATTAAGTTTTCGCAAATATATCGGAATTAAACAATAATAGTAATAAGCTGTGATAAAATGTAATGTAAGATTCATATTAATGGCTATGTAATAAAATATATTACAACACAAAACTAGTTCATGTTTCTTTGAACATATATGCATTAAATTCCTAATAATTAATAATAAAATAATGAAATTATTAAGACATAAGATTATTAAGATTATTAATCTCTTGATTGGAAAAACGGACTTGTGGTTTATATTGGATATTTTATTTATAGGAATAATTCAGAGACATTTTTTTTTATTATTGTTTATATTATTTTTTAAGACAATTACTTAAATATGTATGAGAAATACATGTTACAAATTAAATCGAATATTGTACTCATTAAGGTAATTATAGATATACAAATACAACATAATTTAAAATAAGATTTAATATAATCTACTAATTAGAATTTGTATGTCTCCTCGTCAAAGTTTTCTTTGACTGTGCATAATATTACCTGTTGCCATGTGTTTGTAAGTGAAATATTGTGGCATGTTATTTCTCTTCTTCTCAAAAATTTTTTTTAAGTTGAATATTATTGGATAAGTGATAAATGCACTGTGTCGTTCAACCTACGCTGAAACATTATCATAATTAAAGCATAATTAAATACAATTATAAAATAGAAAAGAAATTAGCATATTGTAAATTTCGATCAACTTTTTATAACAAGACAAACTAGATATGCATATTTAAATATATTAAATATTCATTCAATACACATCTTAATAAAAGATATGTAAAATATATATTTTTATAATATAATATAGCGATATAATTACCTGCAATCCCAGCAATTGCCTCTGAAGCAAAGTATTTCACATCTACGTCACTGTCGGTATTGAGTTTATCAAGGATGGGTTTTACTTGAGTCTGGACTGCCGAAGGTTCAAGGAAAGGTCCAATTCGCTGTAGAGTCTTAGCGACATTGAATCTTACGTTTGCAACATTATCTGTAGCCATTGTCAATACAGTTGGAAGCATTACTTTTGTCGTTATCTCTGGACCACATACTTCAGCCAAAACCTATTATAAAAAATTAAATAGATTTACAGATTGAAATTTTAGAAGTTTTAAAGACACACAGTATAATGGTGTAGCTTACATTGATGCAGAACAAGCATGTCATTCTGTGAAGATAATTCTGATCCCTAGACATTGCCAAGACTTTAGGTATCACCGTATTCTGTGCCCAATCGGGCCCAAACTTCTCCACCAGTTTCTTCAGATTTAATGTAGCTGCTTCCCGAATCGCATAAACATGATCCACCAGCCAAGTCATGCATAGAGAATTTAATTTCTCATCAAAGAATTCCACGCCGAGCTGTCCAGCCAGCAATGGCATATACCTGAAATTCAAACCATTGTTAGTACACACACGTACACTTTTTATCAACGTTTTCAATTTAAACAAATATAATTACTCGATAATAGCTAGTCGCACACGCCATTTAGAATCCTCAGCTAACTCCACGATGGCGGGCAAAAGAGATTGCGACAGTTGCTGTATGCCAATCACTTCGTTAACACATTCCAAATTGCTAATGATATTGAGTCGCACCTCGGGACATTCATCTCTGAGCTGGGATAGGAATAGAGGTAACAAATGTTCGATCGTGCTGCAAAAAAAGTATTAAATGATTATTAATCGAACGTTACGCTTTGTAATATTGGATTAGAATTATTTGTATTCTTACTTGTGCTTGCCGAGTATAGGGCTCAGTCCCATGATCACGCTCGCTAAAGCTGACTTTACATGCTGATTCGCATCTACTACCAGCTCTTTAACAATGGGCAATATATTTGACATTATTATATTTTCCTGATTAAACTGATCAAGATTTTGGCAGAAATCGCGAACTTTATCAGCAGCCGCTGCCCGCACCTCTGCTTCAATATCCTTCAATAATATTTGAAATGCTGGCACAAGATCTGTTTTCGTTATTTCTGGACCAACAGCCTTTTGGAGCTGCAAAAAAAAAATTGTTCAGATAATATTTTTAATGCAATGAAATTTTCTCAAAATAACCTCTCAAGTCTTGAAACAATGACACATACATCTGTAAACTTATCTGCCACCATGTAACGAACGCGCCATGACTGATCGCTAGCGCACTGCCGAAGCGTAGGCATAACCAACTGTTCAACATCCTCTTGTTGTAACAACGCTGCAATACTGACACAAGCTTCAACAGCCAAGAGACGAACTGAATCCTGTAAAATGATGAGTTGTTAAATTATTAATCTGATGGCTGACAGATGAAGAGATTTATAAAGTTTCATAGTTTTGATGTACCTACTTGTTCGTCCTGAGCGAGTATGACAAACATGGGTATTAAATCAGATTTAAGATACTCGATTTCCACAACTTTTGCAAATTCGCCTAATTTGGAAGCAGCCGATCGTCGCGCCATGGGTGTATCGTCCTGGCACAAGCTGCGGAAGTGATTTCGCAATTCCGCTGTAACATTCAAGTTTGCAAAACGTTAGGCTCATCATTCTGCGTTTGCTTAAAAATTGATCCAAGAGGTCTGCAAAAAAAAAGAGTACAAGATTACTGTAATTACCTTTAATGGCTGGGCTCACTCTCGGATAACAAACGCTGAACAAGCCGCATGCCGATGTTCTTGACGTGAACCAGTCCCCTGAAGCTAAGCGTTGTACCAATGGAACAAAGTGCTCCTCCAAATCTGCGGGACTGTGCTGACTCGCGATATTTCTTAAAGATTCCACAGCTTTGTCACGGACCACGGTTTCTTCCACGGTGGCCAAAGATTCCAGCGGTGGCTACAGCAGAAATTTATAATGTTTCTCAACTATATTTCTTCGATAGAACAAAGAGATATTGAAACTGATATTGGAGCAAAATTCATAGCTCAATTTTATATTTAAGATAGTCTTGTTTACAATCTCTGGGACAATATGTGGGTCCACGTGTAAGTGGCCTTTCAATCAGTGATCTTAATATCACTTAAAATCAAATCACTTAAGAGATAATGTTAAATATAAGATCGAGTGAAAACTATCATCATATCTGTTGTTAATTATTATCCAAAATAGAACTCTGTTGTTGTATACCAATAGACAGTGCACGAATTCCGGTCCACCGACAAGAGGAGTGAACGTGCCGAGCTGTTCGGCAAGTGCAAGGAGGACTTCATCCTCATCATAAATTGTCTCCGTTAAAAATGGTATCAGCTCGCTCCGTGTTCGTTCAACGCCCAGTGCCAGTGCGATCGTCGATAGCTTCTTAATGGAATTGAGACGTAACTGTAACGAAAAAAAACACACACACACACATGTTAGACCGCTGTAATGCCTCTCACAGCGGCGATAAAAGCGGCAATGGAAATTGTTGCTCCTAAATGCGTGAAATTTTAACTCCAACTGTATCGCTCTTTCCCACATTCGCGTTCTAACACTCACAATTTGTACTATCACACGTACTTATTATCTTCGAGATCACGCGTTCTAGCGAGCTTTAAAAAAGCGCTCTGTTTGGAATATCTCCGTACTCTCTTCAGCGAGTGGATAGCGGCGGAAAAGGGAGAGCTGCGCGGAAGACGGGGAGATGCGGAGACTCAATCGCCGCGATCACTGTCAATTGACTGCGATTACCTGGACATCCTCGTTTTTTAACTCGTCGATGAGTACCGCGATCGGATAGAGGCTGTCGTCCGTGTTGGAGTCGCTCGCTGCCATTTTGCTGCCGGACGCACTTGGCAATTACTCGGTAACGCTCGTGGGGACTCCTGGATGTCGCGTTAAATGCTCGCCTACGTCGACGGTCGATCGCGGTTTTCCGGGGGATGCGGATCGGACAACGTTCTCGGGCACTCGCGCGTAATTACAGCATAATTGCAGGACGCCGTTAGTGAATTTAGAAGCTCGAACGAAATCCACCTCGCGGCCCATGCGACTCCCGTGAATCACTTTACGACGGCGATAACTCGCGCCGCCATCAGATGGCGACTCCCTGCACTCCTCGCTGAGAGAGGACCGAGACAGAGAGAAATGCCCTCACTAACGCCCCCTGAAAAGAAGTGGATGTAAACTGCATAGCAACATCCACTATTCTGTACTTTTCACGGGTATATAATTTGTGGTCCGTGCTACATCCTCTTTTCGACTGCCGACGCTTTATTCTCGAAAAATTGCGCTTTCGAAGAATACATTTCCGTATTTATAGTAATATAAATAGTGATAAATTATTTTGTATAATACTAACAATAATAAACTAAACAGTTACTGATTTTAATATAACTATGCGTAATAATACAATTATAAAGAATTATTCCTTTTTTTAATGTTTACTTAAAAAAATTACAGATTTGATAAATTAATAGTAAGAAAATATGTTTATTTATATATGTATATTTATTTTTTTATTAATAAAGAATCTAATATACATATAACAAAGTTTATAAAAAATCATCACAATAATACACGCCTTTTATGAATTAACGATTATTATTTCACATTGTAATAGAAGGCGTAATATTAATATTATAAATAATAGATATCCGCGATATTTGTAATATCCAAAAATAATATAATTATCGCTTAGCTGATTATTCGTGCGATACATCTTCAGGACAATCATTACGTATTTTAATGATTCATCAATTTCCATATTTCACGATAGTTTTATATTGCAGTAAATGAACTGCACCAGAAATGAAATACTTCCTCGATTTTAATCGTTTTATTTGCAAAACGCGGCGGACGCCGCGTTATTTGATAAATTAATAATAAATGTCAAGTGGCCGGTTCTAAATGCCGATATATATAATTTCATCGAGTACAATTTCTGCCGCGAATAGGCGAAAAAGGATAACGTCATTTTCCGTTTTATTTATTTTGCAAATAAGTTACGTTAATTACTAATTACTAATTAGACACTGAGCGCATGTTCAATGTTGACTTTGACAAAGAGGCAAGTGCCTTTATCCATTATTCTGTTTCTGTAAAACGAACGTGCCCGGTATCGCGCGCCGACGCGTCCACATCGGAGTCCCATAAGCAAAAAGCTCTGTGCCGCGTAGAATTTCGCTTATATACTCAATTCGGAAGCCAGCGTCCATCCAATCAGAGCGCTTGGAATGCGGCGCGGCATTGCATTGCGTTCATTGACTACTGATTTTAATATATAATTAAGCGTAATAATACAATTATAAAGAATCATTCCTTTTTTAAATGTTTACTTAAAAAAATTACAATTTGATAAATTAATAGTAAACCGTAAACGTCAAGTGAACCGTAGCTCGGTTCTAAATAATATATATAATTTCGAGTATAATTTCTGACGCCGCGAATAGGCTAAAAAGGATAACGTCATTTTCCGTTTCATTTATTTTGCAAATAAGTTACGTTAATTACTAGTTACTAATTAGACATTGAGCGCATGTTCAATGTTGACTTTGACAAAGAGGCAAGTGCCTTTATCCATTATTCTGTTTCTGTAAAACGGACGTGCCCGGTATCGCGCACCGACCGAACCACATCGGAGTCTCATAAGGAAAGAGCACTCTGTCGCGTAGAATTTCGCTTATATACTCAATTCGGAAGCCAGCGTCCATCCAATCAGAGCGCTTGGCACTACAGCGCGCTTATTAGCTGGCGCGCGAGGTAGGGGTACTATATATACGGCGCGTAAGCCCGGCCGCGCGCGCATAAGCGACATTACACTGATTCCGCGTCGAGGCTGCTCGGAGGAGCGTTACGTTTGGTTACGTTGCGTCGTGTCTTGCGTTGTTGGTCATGCAGAAGGACGTACGATGTAGCTCAGTAGCTATAATGATCTAGGATCGCAGCAGTCGTAATTCATATTAACAAATCCTTTCAGGAGTAAATTTTTTGGTACGCTCTAAGAATTTCTTTATCGTTAATTGCGTAATTAAGATAGCGAAGCCGGCGAAGCGGCGCAATGCATTTCGCGTGCGGTCAGCTCACGCGTCACAAGCGTGGCAACGCGTTGGCGGCGACGCTGTAATATATGCGTTCTACTTTTAACTTTGCGTCTATGCATTTTCCGCATTTTGAGTAATAAATACTATATGTATATTCCACTATATGTTAACATATACATAACACGAAATTAAGAGTAGGAATGCGGATCGGCGCCGCTGCACCGCGTCGCTTTCGGCGCGTGAAGGCCGTGAAGTTGACCGCGTCGGAAAGGAACGGAAAGGCACTTGACGCCGCAACTCTTTTAATAGACAAGCGATAATTGTATCAATCTTGCATTTAATTCATGTAATATAGATTCGGCACTTGCACTCTGATTCGATCGGATGCGTATTTCGCAATACTCGTTCGATCGAAAATCAAGATGTGCGTCGCCGCGCTGCCAGTGTCGACGACGCGTTCGCTGCGTACCGCGACACTTTCTACGCGTCACTTTTGCTCATTACGCGTATTATACTCTTATCTTCGCGTTTATGCATTTTTCACATTTTAAGTAACTAATACACACGCCTCTTACAATTAGTATTATGTGCAATAATTGTCATAAAAGGCGCATGTATTAGTTTAACATTTATCGTTCGAATGTATTTCGCGATCACGTTCGACCGAGAATCAAGTGAAACGTTGTTGTACCGACGCCGCCGCAGCGCGTACCGTGGCGCTATTGGCTCGCGAGCCGCGGAGTTGACCGCGCGGATGGACGAAACCACTTTACTATATTAATAGCGGTTTCTTTTATTAATTGTAGAACTCGATACGGGATAGACGATCTGCGGAACGAGAGGCGTCGCGGCTAATATAATTGGTAAGTGGGACTTGTCTTTGCATTTGTGTAACATGTAGCGTTGCCGCGCCTTTGTCGTCGCCACCGACCCGCGTCGCCGCGACGCTTGCTTCGCGTATAAGCTGACCGCGTGCGGGACAAATTGCTCCGCTTCATTATCTTAATTACGCATTTATTCATAAGTATAGCGTACGTTAACGTACAGCGAACGTATGGATAAACGCATAATTAAGATAGCGAAGCGGCGTAATTCGTCTCGCCTGCCGTCAGCTTACGCGAAGCAAGCGTCGCGGCGGGGACGACGCCGGACGCGTCGGCGGCGGTACACATCTTGATTTTCGGCCGAACGAGTATTGCGATTACGCATCCGATCGAATCAGAGTTCGAATCTATATTACGCTCTAATTAGATGCAAGATTGATCGAATGCGTATTTCGCAATACTCGTTCGACCGAAAATCGAAATGTGTAGCGTCGGCGTCGCCGCGCGCCACTGTTGCACCGACGCCGCCGCAGCGCGTACGGTGGCGCTATTGCTGTGTGAAATAGACCACGCTGGAAACGAAACACTTGCGCTATTTTAATCGCATTCACGTTTGATTTGCAGAACGCGATGGACACGGATCGGCTCCGGAACAAGTGACGCCACGATTCACTGAATTGGTAAGTGTAATATTTATTAGTAATCTCGCATTTAATTCATGTAATACGGATTCGACTCTGACCGATGAATCGATCGAACGCGTATTTTTCAATACTCGTTCGGTCGAAAATCAAGACATGTAGCGTCGAAGCTGCTTCGCTTTTACAGCGTTAATAGAGTTTTTTTTTGTATTTTCAGAACACGACGAACATAAGATGGATCGTCTCCGTAACGAAGAGTGTCGCGGCTGATATATTTGGTAAGTGACATTTGTATTTGCATTTGTCTAATATGCAATATAATAAAATCGGCACGCAAGCATTGATGTTCGTCCGAACGCGTATTTCGCAATACTTGTTCGACCGAAAATCAAGATGTATAGCGCCGACGCGTTGTTGGCACTATTTCGGCGTTTATTTCGTGTAAAATTAATTGCACGCGAAACAAAACGCGCCGCTTTGCCAACTTAATTACACTAATTACGTTTTAATTGCAGAAAGCGGCAGCACGAACA